CTCAGATGCTGGAGATGTTGGAGATGTTTCAGATGTTGGAGATGTTTCAGATGTTGGAGATGTTTCAGATGTTTCAGATTTCTCAGATGTTTCGGATGTTGGACATGTCTCAGATGCTGGAGATGTTGGAGATGCTTCAGATGTTGGAGATGTTTCAGATGTTGGAGATGTTTCAGATGTTTCAGGTGTCTCAGTTGTTTCAGATGTCTCAGATGTTTCAGATGTCTCAGATGTCTCAGATGTTTCAGATGTTGGAGATGTCTCAGATGTTTCAGATGTCTCAGATGTTTCAGAGGTCTCAGATGTTTCAAATATTTCAGATGTCTTAAATGTCTCAGATGTCTCAGATGTCTCAGATATTTCAGATGTTGGAGATGTTTGAGATGTTGGAAATGTTTCAGATTTTTCAGATGTTTCAGATGTATCAGATGTCTAAGATGTTTCAGATGTCTTAGATGTCTCAGATGTCTCAAATGTTTCAGATGTCTCAGATGTCACAGATGTCTCAGATGTCACAGATGTTTCAGATGTTCCTGGTCCTCTAGAGCTGAAGGTAGTGACAGCTGGGCCTCCCTTTGCTGTCCCTGCCTTACACAGCTCCAGGCATAGGATGACAAAGGGAAACCCACTGGTCACATGATCGTTTGACATAATCCAAAATCATATTGAGAAATCCCATTGGACCAAGGAGATGCTGCCTTCAGGGTCCAACAGAGAAACCCCACACCCTGCAGCTCTCTATAGAGATAAGAGAACATCCTCTGTCTTTCCTAATAATTTCTCCATCGCTAGTCTGTCCTGGCTCAGGACTACGTGTATTATACAAGTATTGTAAATTAGTCACTAACTGTACTGCATACATTTTAACAGATATAAGTTATCTCAGTGTAGGACAAGTTGTTTTAGCATTGAGCTAACGTGGGACTCACGAGTGTTGATCTTCTGCAGAGCGATGTGTTTCTCCAGCTGCCGGCGGAGGCGCACCTCGGCGCCGTACTTCCCGTGCGTCCCGTTGTCAGCCAGGAGGAAGTGGGAGTGGCTGCTGTTCAGAACCGACAGCTTGCTGAGTGGGTTGGACATGGTCGTATAGGGCCGGGTCACCTGCAAAAAGAGTTCAGAGTGAAGAAGCAGCAGAGCTTTCTGTTGGGTGCACAGATACCGGAGATTCACTGATGCGCTTTATTCAAGATTCAAAGGCTTTAGTGAGGTCTGTGTAGCAGCTAATGTCGCCTGCAACAGTGCAACTGAGAATATACCTAACGCAAAATGTAATCAGGAAGTAGAAACGATCTGATCGACCAATCAGAGCGTCAGTGGTTTGACTCCAGTCAACAACTGTCTTTGGACGGGATACTGAACCTCCCCCCGCCCTGCTCCTGTAGGCATTGATTCTTTGGTACTGAAGGGTGTGTGTGTTGCTTTGGATAAATATATAATAAATATTCACATTCTATTTAATATTGAACAATCCATTCTTTGACAATAATATCCTGCATTATATTTGTTACTGGACATTTGGATTTCCAAATATATATATTTTTTAAATTTTATTTCGTATTTTTGATTCTTTAACTTTGTCTTAATTTCTCTGATGTACATTGCCGTCTATCTCTCTATCTATCTATCTATCAATCTATATATCTATCTATCTCTCTATCTATCAACCAATCTATCCATCCATCTATCTATCTATCTCTCTATCTATCTATATATATATATGTATATATAATCTATCAATCTATCTATCTATCTCTCTATCCATCTATCTATCTATCAACCAATCTATCCATCCATCTATCTATCTATCTATCTATCTCTCTATCTATGTAAATATATATACCTATCTATCAATCTATCCATCTATCTCTCTATCTCTCAATCTATCCATCTATATCTATCTCTCTATCTATCTATCTATCTATCTCTCTGTTGAATTTAATTGATTTATTTAAAACAAGGGACAGTGTACATTAATCAACATATTAAAAACATGCAAAAGTACTCAAATTTGCCAAAAGGCTAGTTTTCACCGATAGTCCCTTTGCCAGATGGTGATAGACACCCTAAAAGTAATAATAAAAATACCACAACATTTTTATACCATTTTACATATTTACAATATATGACATCACTGAATAAAGATAAGAGCAAGTCACGATAATAAATAAAACATTCACAATACACACTCCTACTAACACCTACACCCACACATCAGTGCTGACACTGTTGGTTTTCAATGAGCCACTTTTTAATACTGTGCTTGAATGTGTAATTTGATGAGGATTCTCTTATTGGTTGTGGTATTGAATTCCATTGATGGGATGCATGGAATGAAAAGACAGCCTGGCTGAATGCACTTTTCCTAAATGGGATGGTGGCTCTATCTATCTATCTTAAGCTGCCAGGAAAACTTCAATCTAGTTCTCACAGTAAAGTATTTTGGTATGGTATCATCCTGCCGTGTGGTATTGTGTATTTCTAAATGTCGGTGTGTTTCTATGATCTCACGTCTCTCCCGATGAGGTCCTCCTTGTTCTCGATGATTCCCCAGGGGGCGATGCCGATGGCGCAGACCTTTCCTCTGGACTTTGACGAGTGGTCTTTGAGAGCGTCCCCCACGTGACGGATCACTCCTGAAAGAGTTTATAAAGGTAATCTCAACTGTACCTTCACCCGGAGAGAATTCTATTTATTTTTGGCCATCAGAACGTTAGACTGAAATATGTAAAAGAGAGCTGAAATATATGGACATTCAGATGGACTGAAGGATGTAGAAATATCCTCATATTGGGGTCTGGGTCCTGGTTTCATTGCAGGATCTGATGCAGGAGATCAGTTTCATACAGCAGATACAGCACTTCACAAAACATGTGACGCATCAATTAAACTGATTTTATGTTTGCATTATTCTCAGAGTAAAGCGTGCACCCCCCTATGTGCATCCCACCGAACAGCACCTGGGTCTGAACCGAGTCTGTATCAAACTGAATCCCTGAAGCTCTCTAAGGAGACCCCCGGACATCCTGTTAGCTGCAGGACCGTATGAACCAATATTTCAAACCCCTCCCTCTAACCCTGTAACTGTAGAGTCAATAGAAGTGAGGAGCGCTTTGTTACCCGTGCTGACCCCCCCGGTGAAGATCCAAGCTCCAGTGGTCACCGCCGCTTTGATCAGGCCTTTCCCAAAAACCTGTTTCAGTTTTGGGGGCAGCTCGAAGTTCTGCAGGCCCCCGTGAACGGAGATGAGGAGGGTGGGGAGCTCCAGCTCCCAGTCCTTCACCATCAGGTGCAGCAGCGAGTCCGCCTTCGAGTCGTACGACACCCGGATGTACTGGAACATTAAGTGTCTTAATATGATATATCATGTTTTATAATACTTATATGTATATTATATGATATATAATGTTAATGTATGATATATAATGATAAATAATGTTAATGTATGATATATAATGTCAATATATGATATATCATGTTGTATAATGATATATAAAGTTCATGTGTGATATATAATGTTACATAATGATATATAATGTTAATGTGTGATATATAATGATATATAATATTAATGTATGATATATAATGTTAACGTATGATATATAATGTTATATAATGATATATAATGTTAATAATGTTAATGCATGATATATAATGATATATAATGTTGTATAATGATATAAAATGTTGTATAATGATATATATAATGTTAATGTATGATGCATAATGTTGTATGATTATATATCATTTTAATGTATAATATATAATGTTCATGTGTGATATATAATGTTCATGTATGATATATAATGTTGTACAACGATTAGGGATGTAACGATATAAAAAATATCGTGGTTTCGCAATAAATAAACGTCCCAATACTATTGTGAGACTGACAAAATCTACCACGATAAAAAAAAAAAAAGATTTAAATTTTTTTTTTAAAACACTTGGCAGCAAGTAGGTTACGACATGAGCATAAAACAACAGAACACAAAAGGACATCATATTTACAGGACTACATTTACATACCTAGAGACATTGACTAATACCAACAGTATATTTATATCTCGCCCTGTCAATAAGCCTCACCTTCCTGGCAAAAACTGTATTGTTTTTGAAGTGGTGGAGAGACAATGCACAGTTTTACCCACTGCTGTCACCCATGGCCAAATCATATCTCTGTCCCAGC